TCTTTGCTATTTCATTTGGTGGATATTCTGACTTTTGAATGTGTGGCAAATGCAGTAAGTCAAATATTCTATTTTTTAATTATAACTTACTTATGTTTCAGGATATATTTCAAACTTATGATAACGGTGGGTGTTCTATGATTATTATTGTATTGTCTGCTTTATTGCTTGTAACTTTACTTGATATTTTAAAATTTTGGAAATGTAATGATATTTTAGGACATTGCTTTACAAGGGAATTGGAAAATGAGATGTGAAATCTGTTGCATTACATTTTAAAAGTCAACAAAACTGCATAACGAGTACATTTTTTTCTGCTGAACTACCCTTCAATGGGCACTTACCAAGACAATTAATTACGTGATAATTTAAAAGCAAAATATGAAATTTGTCTTGGAAACCATTTTAAATTAGAGGGTTTTAATAAATATTTATAGCAGAACAGGGTAGTAATGTTGCTTATGTGATGAAAACAKATGTTAGTAATAAAATATCACCCATCAGAAATACTGTTCTATCATGTCATTGTTCCCTAAAGAGATGACTAATTGAAAAATCAYTTTAACAAAATAAATTCTGAACAGACTTGATGCTTTTATGGGTGATACAGCATACATTCTTCAAAAAGGCACATCATAAAAAATGGTGCCAGACATTGGGAACATCTGTTGTGTGAGAAAGTAAATTTGAGAAAATCCAAATAATAATAATAATGTTCAATGTGTAGGCTTTTCCTCGCTCGATTCTCAAAATCCTTTGCAAGGAGGGAAGAAACAACTACCCCTGTTACAAAGTGCATTTTGTAAAATTCAGCCGCACCAGTTTTCATCTGTCATTTTTAGATTCATGCCGTGCCGTTAATTTTCTGCGGGAGGCAATCTGTCCCAAGGAGTGCAATGTCCTTCCTTCCATCTCGGGCAGCATTCCTGCCTGTGAATTAGTGAGCAGTGCCAAGCTGGCAGCCGTGGCATGTGGAGCTGGGGAGCTGSCATTCCATTGCCAGGGCAGCCAGAGTGGAAGCTGTGCTGGCTTTGTGTCATCCTGTCCCATCCCATCCTGTCCCATCCTGGTGCCAGGCGCCAGGGACGCGCCACYTTTGCTCTGCCTGGGACACCTCGTGTGTTGCAGCTTGGTGAGATGGAGGTATTGCATTCAGCTAGGATAGTTGCTGACATTGTGTGAACAATTATTCTGAAGCAGTGGGAAGGCAATGCAAGGACATCATGTTTTTAAGCCGCTGGAAACTCCCTACAAGATACTTGTGTTGGTTCGCCCTGGGAAAAAGTGGAAGTAGATAAGGGAAATTGGCAAGTGAATCATTAAAGGTGGAGTTGACGTTTAGGATGTGGACCTATGAAATATATGTATTACAGAATATGTATGAGCTAATTATGTATGCTATAAATCTTAGACATTGTTTGCAATAAATGCAAGTTCGCTTATAACGCATATTGAGTGGTCCGAGTCTTCCCTTCTTTGACACCTCGTGGGCTATGCTGGAGCTGGCACAGCTGAGAGCTGCTTGTGAGCACAGGGAAGGGGCACCTTGGCACTGGAACTACCCCCAGCTCATCCCTGGTGTGCCCTTAAATAGCCACAGGGCTCCTTGGCACTCAGGATTGAGCTGGAGCTGGTGGCCAAGGCGTGGGATGTGCTGGATTACACCTGACATTCCATCAGTGATTTCAGCAATCCCACTGGAGCAGCATCATTGCACCAGGCTGGAGGAAAAAAGATGSACTTTTGTGGGAGAAAAAAGTGGCCCCACAAGCCCTAAATCTAAAACTCAACCAATTATTATATATAACTAAATCCTAAAAAGAAAAAAAAGAGTATTAACAACCTACATAAAAAAGAAAAAATACCACATCCTTGGCTACTGTTAAGAAAAGGAGATTAGAATGTAGAATTAATAACGCAGGTAGCTAGAAGTTATAAATATTACTAATACTGTAACTTTTATAAACTCATCAATTATGTTCTAATTATTAATTAAACAACTATCTCTTAACCAATGTATATTTAACACAAATATATACTCTAGTCACTAAAGTAAATAAAAAAAGCTTACCCCACAATAAACTTCCTTCTTTCTCTTTTTTTCACCCACATTTTATATCTTTTGTATCTATTATTTTATGTCGCTGTTTAGCCAGTAATGACATACTTTCACAAAAGATGTACTTTCATTGCATCCTTCCCAATCGGCCAATACAAAGATACTGCTTCTCTAAAAAAAAATTAAACTGTTGTCACCTCAGCCAATAATTAATACTACAGCTACAAAATGAGCTTGTTGCCCAAGTGAGTGCACAATGTCGAGCTCCTGGCTTGGAGGGGTTGTGTTGTAGCAGAGAGAACCACTGAATAGTTTGTCAGACTGTTTTTCCTGCTGAAATCCCTTTCAGATGAGATGACAATTTCCTTTCWTCTTAAAAGAGCAGGTTGGAGAAACAGCTGTCAGGAGTGACGTGGTTGATCTTGCTTTAGGCCAAGCTGGTAGACCTTTTGGGCTGCTTTCATCCTTTTCCTATAGCTGTTGATGACCCTAGCAACACATATAAGTACATTTACCTGGTCTCTCCAGCCTGCTGCATTTTTTCAGCAAAATCTTTGCTAGCTGAAAGAAGCAGTCCCTTTAACTCAGCAGCTTTTGAAATCTGTAGGTTTAAAAAGACACTGTTTGGTGTATCTCCTCAAAGATTCCTTCTTAATCCTGATTGTGTGTCCTAATCCCTTGGYTGAGCCTTCCTATGCAGAAGAATTTGAGTTGATTGCCATTCCTTCATAAATGCACTCAGGGCAGTCCATCAGACTTTCTTTCCTTTTGGGCCAGCTGATCAGTGCTGAAGCTTTCCACCTCCATTAAAGAATCCATGTGGTAGTTGAGAGCAACCATGAGTGCAAACAAACTTCRGAAACCCTTCAAAGTATTTGCTTTGCTCTACCATTTAACTTTAAAAAGCCCAGGATTTCGCCTCTGATAAAATGGAACAGACTATTTTTTTTTTTCTTTCTAAATTGCAGTGTAAATGTGTTTTTGTTTGTTTTGTAGAAGACACTGTGATGACTTTCATGATGTTACCTTACTCAAGGACAAATTTGACCAGAAAATGGTACTTTGAGAGGATACTGACAGTCAATATTTTGGTGTGAGATTTGGTTTAACGCAGAATTTTTGAAAATCAGGGAAGCTGCTCTAACACTGGGCTATTGAAACATGTCCAATTCATTTCACTTACTGCAGATCCTTCCCAGTTTTGTCTTCACTACTCTACATGTCCAGGCCCAGGCAAGGAATTCCTTAAACATCTATAGAAGTTCCTTGTTTTCTTCTTGAACTGGGTCCTGGAGTTTGTACTAGTTCTGATGAGAATTTGGCATCTACAAGGACCTCAAGGCATTACTGCACCTATTCCCTGATTTTAAAGGAAAAAGAATGTAGAATTCCCAAAGCTTTATATCTCCAAATCAGGCTTTAATTTCTTTTTAGACGGAAAGTGCAGTTTCTGGGGAAAGGAGCTTGCTAGTTAGTAAGTCTGAAAAGATCATAGCAGTTCCAATAATTGCTCATTTCGTCAATACATCTATATTTAAAGTGAGCTAAACTGAGTTCTTTCCTATACTGTCTACTTCAAATAATGCTGCTTTACATTTGGAAAGCCAAAAAAGGAAACASAGCATAATCTTACAGGAGTTTTGTTCCCTTTTACTTTGTCCAGCTCAGACTYGCTGTAACAAGAGCACTTCTTTCTGTGAAACCTTTTTAACATATTCGACCAAACAAACTATCTCCTAAAGAAAGTGGGAGAGGGTTTTTTTTTTGTGCATATATGTGTGAGTGTGTGCGCATGCTTTGCTCTAACCTTGGCTCCTGAGGACATTTCTGCATTTGTCCGTGTGCTAAATGAGCGATGCATTTTGGACAGCTTCTGTGTTCTGATTTGTTTTCTTGTGCTTTTTTTTTCCTCTCCCCCCACCTCCCTCCCTTCTTCCCCTTTTCATTTGTCTAGGGAGAAAAAAAAAAAAGCTCCTCCACTGTTGTTTTCTGCAAAGACCATTCTTAAGAGCTCGTTGGACAGCTCGGGACTCTTGAAGTGATAGCTAATTGGTGAAAGAAAGGCCCTGATTGTCTTGAGGGAGCTGGAAAGTGCTGCGTGTGCTGTTGAAAGGGACTACGGAGAAGGTGCCTGGTTTCGCTGAGCAGCTGCTGCTGGAGATGTTTGGAGATTACATCAGCATTGGAAAAAAGGGGCAAAAAAAAAAATCCAACTTCACAGAGACGGAGTTTATGGAGGGTTTTTTCCCTCTTCCAAAGGTCTTCTGACAATACTGTCATTGTCAATATAAAAGTTGTTAATTCTTTATGAATAGCACATGGGGCCTCTTGACTAAATAATACGTTACATGTCCCAAATCTGTCAGCTGGACTCTTCTCTCACATGCTAGTGAGATCACTTTGATTGGAATGTTAGAGGAATTGCTGGGCTGGCCATTCAGAACTGAATGCTGCATGATATAATTAGATCTCCTAAAGTATTTTTTTCACATTACCTCATTATTCTAGCTTAAATATGGAATCAGTCCTTTTGATGTTTTTGCTGGTAGTAATTATATTAATACGATTCATTCTGTGGTCCTGTCTTAGTGCTTATATAGATTCTAAATTGTCCCGAAGGTTTCCTGACATAAGAAAAGAAGACTGAGGGACTTCAAAAGCCTCGTTCAGATTTGAATGGACAATGGGGAGAGCTGGATAAGGTAAATGCAGCTAGAGCAGCTTTTACCTTGGGATCTGATGAGAGAGAAATGACCTGTKGAGACTGCAGCCAAGTGAAGATTCTGCAGAGAGCATTGTGCTGACAGAGGGGAAGGAATGACAACTGATTGAGTCAAATGACTTCCTATCCAACTTGGGCATGAATTTGCCTCTGGGAACAGACTTGTGGACTTCTGCCAGTTTTATGATATGGACCAGCTGGAAGGAGCCCTTWTGCTGGGCAGTCCAAGAGCCCTCATTGTCCACGTGTCATGCCRTGGGCTGGCAGCAGTGGGTTCTTACCTGGATGGCTGATTTGTTACCAAATTCCTCATGGTTCCTTCCAGTCAGTCACATCTGAAACTGACTGAATGGTTTTAGCTGGCCACAACCTGCCAAATATTCACACTTCTTAGCAAGTGATATATCTGTATGCACACGGTGGATACCACTGGAATAACCTATTCCACGAAAAACAGATTTGTGTCTCAGAGATTGTCTGATGGACTCTGGATGTGCTTCAGCACCAACAAGGGATGGGGTGACAACATGAGTGAGTTTTGACATCAAAACCCTGCAATGGGCCTTCATGTCTGGCCTTAAACACCCTACTGGGGCACTGGAGGATTTGACTACTTGCCCAAGGACAAAATGACTTGGGATTTCTTACCTGGGCAAAGGAAATAAATTTTTCAAAGTGAACTGTCCATTTTTGAATAGATGTTACATTAAGTCAAACATCCTCAATGTTACTGCAACTCAGTGTAACACTAGCTTTTATGAACTGAMTTTTTCTGCAGTAAAGATAGAAAAACTGTGTTACCTTGCCTGAGAAATGCACTATCCTTGGCCCAGTCACTCTTTTTAAATAAAGAAAAAAGTCCTTTTCTTTTTGGTTTGATAATTTTCTATCTCATGTAAAGGTGAAGGTTACCACTTCATACACATTTTTTCATATCTCTTGATAGGTGACATGATTATATTGGAGTTTGCTATGTAAAATCCTGCAGTATTCCCATACAGAGTTTCTGACCCATTCATGACTCACACACTCCTTCAAGCTTTTCATTAGTAACTGCTCATCAGGCTTTATCATTTTGTCTTTTAAAGCCTCCTAAAACTCAGACATGAGAGCTGGTATATACTTAGGCAGTGGAATGGGGAAAAATGYCAGGTCAATTGATTTCAGCCTCTGATTTTATTTATGGGGGATGACCAATCTATAAAACAGCCTGTAATGCTTGAAGGTGCATGTCATGGATTTGAAATCCTGYCAGATGACAATAAATTATGAGTAGATGTAACTAACTCCTTGTCTGTTTCTGTGATTCCTAATTTTAATGATAATTCTGTCCTTTTTTGTTTCCCGAACACCAGCAAACAACAAAGTGAAATCTTGTCTACTTGATGTGCGGACATACCTTTGATAATGAGTAACTGGAAAAACAGGCTCAGAGATCCATATTTCTTCTTTCAGTTAATAATGGCTATTCTCAGGTGTTGTGTGCAGAACAAAGCTTGTAGAGAAATTGAAAGTGCCTTTAAGAAACTAGTCTTCTAATTATTTCTTTCAATCATATTGAAGTTGCATTTGACAGAATCATATTTGTGTTAATTGTTAAAAAAATGTGGATGTAATGAGAAGCAGTGGAGTTGTGGTTTGCTCTCTTTAATATTTGGGGGGTGTTGGAACTGACACTGGTATGGGATTCACAGCTTTGATTTGTTTATCCTTGCAGAGGAGAATTTGGAGTTTTCCATGCAAATATTTTGTGTCCTATAAAAATTGTCTTCAATCCCGAGAAGTTTTTTTAAAATGTCAATGTTCTGAGGCACATTTAATTAATTTAATAATAACAATAAAAATTTTTGACTGAAGAGTTCATTTAGATCTTGTTATGTGCTAAAGTCCTTATGCGTTCAAAGCATTTTAATGGCAACTTGGTTAATTTCTGTGCATTCAGGTAGTTSTTATCCATCCTGCAGAGTGTGGGAAGCCATCCTGTTTATCCTGCATTGCAAAATCACTATCATGTTTTCCAGAGTGCAAAATAAAAAGGAGACTGAGATCTTCCTCTTTATTCTCATAGGTCTTTGCAGCAAACATTTTATCCAGTWCTTTTCCCCATATATATGTGAACAAATCAGTAGTTGCTTCTCTCTAAGGTGCTAGTGAGTGGCCAGSTATGTGTAGTCCCACTTATTTTCTAGACCCTGTTCACAGGTGACTGTTCCATAGATGTGGAGCTTCCAGCTCTGAGATGTGAGTGCTCTGGGTATATGAAGAAATAATAAAAAAAMCAGAATTCTTTAGAGTGGAGTTATCCACAGCATTTAAGTATGTGTGGGACACTTTTAGTTTTGCGTGTTAGCCTCATATCCCCAGATTGCATATATCAGTGGTACGTCTAAATCCTTTTTTTTTTTTTGGAACCTGGGTCCTATATTTAAAGGAATACTTGAACCTACATGAGTTCTACATGAGTTTAGACCCATTTCCTGACTGCCTCCCATTTGAGAATTGGAAGTCTTAGACCTTTTCATCCGAGTTTCTAACTGATACTTACGAGGTGGAGACTGTCTACTTTGTTCTTTCAACAATATATTTTTCATTGCCACTAAGTCGTAAAAAAGCCCTCCAAATAATTAGTGCTCTTTTCTGGGAATCGTTACCAAATCCTAAAATCTAKAATTAGTTGTTTCTCCTTCCTGGTCATTGTATGAAGACTAATTCATGGAAGAAGGATTCATCAAGGGCTATTAAGGGCAGGAAATCATTTCCTACAGAGTGCTGAGCTGAAGAAGATATTCAAGAAGCATCACTAAATGCTTGTCCTGTTCTTAGTCTCTTTGGAGACATCCCTTGTTATTATGAYGGGAATGGGTACAGAATTAGCTGATTCTGCAGGGCTCTTCTTTGCTGGTCTAGGATACATTTCCCTTTGCATTTGAAAAGTAAGAATCTGTCCATCATGTTATTTATAACAGACTGGGATGAATGTTTTCAGAGGGTTGGAAGAACTGACCTGTTCCACTGGCTGTGTCCTGGRCAAGGCAGGGTTGTGCTAAAAGGATGGGGAGGAGTGTGGCAGGGACAACTGGGAGCTGCTTGCAAACACGTGACTTCAACATGTTCTCCACCAATCCCAGAGCAGATATTTGCAAGAGCATCCCTGCCTGGTGAGATATTTGGGTTTAAATCTGGCTCCCTCTTCCCTCAGATGTGCTTTCCTTGACGGGTGCCTCAGACCCAGCACAGCGACTTCCAGATTTTCAGTCTCTGCAAAACATCTTCCACCACGCCTGTGTTTAAAAGGGCACAGAATCCAGCCAGCTAATTTGTTCCTAGGCAGTTAAACTACTTTACAYGAGCACCAGACCCTGGAGTAGATTTAAGATACTATTTAAAGAGTATGGGAGCTGTGTCATGTAGGGGGACGTATCTGTGTCTGTCTTAGAGTGATAATCTAATTGGAGGTCGTCCTTTGTATAACCCTGTTAACATTTTAGACTATTCTGGGAAACCCCTTGGCCCAAGTACTATGGAATGTAGTTAGGAAAAACAATGTTTTTTTCAAATATTTCAGATGTGGAATGTTTATTTTGCAGCCAGAGAAACTTGTTACCAAGCAACTGACCATGAGTAGGATCTACTGCCAACTTGAAAAAAAAAAATGGAAAAAAACCTACTTACCTCTCCTCAGGCAGCATGTGAGAATTTATAATGCAACAAGGATAAATTTGTTGAAAAATTTCTATTTGACAGGATTTATCCTTCGTGGTCTCAGGTCAGCCAGGTCTTTTCCCTCCACCTGTCCCTGAGTCATATAATTGACAGAAGAAGCCACTGGAGAAGGTATTGATGCAGGAAATGCAGTCGCTTTCAAACCCATCCCATTTTGCAGACTACTTTATCAGAGCCCTGGGTAATGGAGTTTGATCATTCATTCTTTGCTGGTCCAAAACCAGGCAAGGACACAACTCAGAATTCTTCTCAGATTATTTTAATGACTGGATACATTTACTTAAGCAGGCTTTCAGAGGCTTGGGTATTATWTGTTTTAGAATTCAGGTACCCAAGCTGTGTTTTTTAGTGGAGCTAAAGATGCTCAGCTTGCTTGCAGTGGATTCAGTTCCAAATGGGACCTAAACTGCTTTGAAGGAAACTTGGAGCCAGCAAAGCATTCCCTGCTGCACCAATCTATTGATTGGGAAATATCTGACTAGGGAGTTGGTCAACAAAACTGCCCRTTTCACTGGATGCAGCTGAAGCAAACAGCCATTCTGGATTAACCCTGATGCCACGGAGATTAATTCTCTGCAGTGGGAATAACTGGGAATATTGCTTCCACCTCTGCTCCTGGACTGAGCCCTTTTGCTGCCGTAATAGTGGGGAGAAGTGTTCATTTGCTGCTCTTTTGAAACAGAAATKGCTGGTTTGGCCAGAAATGGGCACAATGGAAAATGCCACCTACCTGGATAGAGAGGAAGAGGGGAACTTTAATGTTGCTTGRTACAAGAATCAGGCTTGTAGCTAAGCCTTATGGAGAAGTGGGTCGCAAAATTCTAAAAAGAGCTGTGAATTTGGAGGGTTTTGGAGTAGCCTCTGTGATATTTCCTTTTCACAGGATATCTAAGCATTGTTTCTCAAAGCATGAATCTTTGTGGGTTTCCCAGAGACACCCAGGAAGGCCCTGTTTGTCTGTTTATCCTGTATGCCCTGGTTTATCTGTCCTTTGTTGTGAGAGGAGCGCACTTTGGAGATGCTGCTTGGGTTTCTCCCAGGAGAGGTCAGATGTCAAATTCTTTCTGTTTCTGAGCACAATAGRAGCTTGCTCATGAAGCTGCTGCTCAGCCTCCTAAAGCTTCCTCTCCGACTTTGGCCCTTCTTCCCATTTTGTCCCCCTTCTTCAGAATAATGCCGATGTCAGTTGACCTCATTTAGCAGTCAAGGCCCCACATGGTGGCATCACCTGTTYTGCAGCTTGGTCTTCAACTGCTGGTGGAGATTGTGTGCACACATGGTCAGCTGCAGTGACCATAGATGATTTTAAACTTGCAGCGTTGCATTAGGCATTTTCACGGCTCCCAGGATTTTATTGGAAAAGTTCAAGTGGTGGATTACTGAAAAAAAAAAAAAAAACCCAAAACGCCCAAACATTTTCAAATTTATTTCAATCTTGCAAGAATGATTGTTCTTCGGTAAGACAGGAAAAGATTTACTGGACTGGAAGATAAAGACACTCACAACATTTCTGGTGTGCTTGGGGGAATTAGTCTCCCCCAAATGATGTTCTTCTCTAGCTAAGAATGTGTGTGATTTCTGTGCTGGTTAGTTTGAGATTTTTATTAACATGGTGTGTTGGTTTTGCTTGGCCTGGTTTTTGGTAGTAGGGGGACCACGAAGAGGGTTSCTGTGAGAAGCTCTGGAAGCTTCCACCACGTTGGGCAGAGCCAGTCCCTGATGGCTCTGGAGATGGACACGGCCAAGGATGGGCCAGTTAGAGATGATGGTAATGCCTCTGTGACAGCATTTTTAAGAAGAAAATCAAAACAAAATGAGGGACACAGGTCTTTTTTCGCTAGACAGAGAAGGAGRAGGTGAGAACATGTGAGGGAAACAACAGGGAGACCCCAAGGGCAGTGGAGAAGGAGGGACAGGAGCTGCTCCAGGTGCAGGAGCCAAGATTCCTCTGCAGGCTGTGATGATGACCATGGTGGAGCAGCTGTGTCCCTGCAGCCCATGGGGATCTATGGGGGATGCAGAGATCCACCCACAGCCCATGGGATCCATGGGGGATGCAGAGATCCACTCACAGCCCATGGGATCCATGGGGGATGCAGAGATCCACCCACAGCCCATGGGTTCCACAGGGGATACAGAGATCCACCCACAGCCCATGGGATCCATGGGGATGCAGAGATCCACCCACAGCCCATGGGATCCATGGGGATGCAGAGATCCACCCACAGCCCATGGGATCCATGGGGGATGCAGAGATCCACCCACAGCCCATGGGATCCACGGGGGATGGAGAGATCCACCCACAGCCTGTGGGATCCACGGGGGATACAGAGATCCACCCACAGCCCATGGGATCCACGGGGGATGGAGAGATCCCCTCACAGCCCATAGGGGTGGTACCCACGCCAGAGTGGGTGGATGCCCGGGGAAGGACGTGATCCAGCCTCCAATCTTTAATGATTGTTTTACTTCTCTTAATCTTCCTCTGATTTTTTTAGTAATAAATTAATTTTTTTGCCCTTGGAGTGTTTTCTCCCAGTTCCTTGTCTCAACTCATGACTGCTTCAGTTAATTTTGTTTCC